TAAATTCTTTTAAAACAACAAATTGAATCAAATACTTGGCACATAATGCTGCAATAGTTCCTGTGCCTATGTTCTAATGCCCTATAGAACAGGCCAAAGTATCCAACCTACTGCCAAGTACCATGTGCCAAGATAACTGGCCTAGAGGGTCTCTGAGCGTGATGCCAGTCACCATCTAAAAGCATTTTTTAAGCACCTATCTGTACATGGTTCTATCCTAGGCACTGTACAAAACGAGTTAAACAGACATGGCCCCTGCCCCCTGGGAGTTTTCAATCTAAGATGATGCTGACATGGACAGACATAAAGGATATTGAGACAACTGAACAAACATTGAACAAGAGCATAAAGTATTAACATTATGCACAAGCAAAGGGGTAAGTGTATTTTGTGGGATAGTATGTGAAGGAAGTCTCATGGGACATGGACAGGGTGGGGTAGAATAATCAGCCTCTATCAGATTAGTTAGTTTTCATTGCAAAGTTGGGTTTTCATACAGTCTTAAAGTAAGGCTAGGACGTTAGTCTTACATTCCAGATATAGTACGCAACAAAAAGATTGGGAACAACAAGAGAAGTTTAAAACTGTATTGTTGGACTTTTGATGGCCTTCAAACTCTGCTATTCTGGATGATTCTAAATCTCAAACTGGCATTGATGTTTAGGCTTATCATGTTGGCATTTGAGTTCAATCTAGGTCAAAGCTAATTCAGTATAAAGCAAAAAAGCCAGCCCCCCAAAAGAGAACCTGGAAATTTGAGCATCTTCTGTAGTCTATTCTGCTTATTAAGTATTTTTTATAAATCACTGACCACCTAACAGAAACCTCGGACTTCATGATAGCTGTTATCTTCTCAGTAATATACATAGGATTATATTGTAAAGCACCTATATATGCCCATTGAATTATGTTCTGTGATAGGAAAATCAACACTCTGGCAACAAATTATTTTTCAAGAATTGGCCAGAGCTGTTTTTGATGATTCTACACCAGCAGTGGATCCTTAGAGTTCTGGGTATTATTGTAAGCAGTGGCAGCAGTTGTTGAACACTCCAGTATTACATATTCATTAATTTATTGTGTCTGACAGATAAAACTGATTATTTCCTTTTCAGTAGATGTATACTTAGGAATTTCCCTAGTTCTTAGCTCACTTTCTGATGTTGAAAATTTGATTTTACCCAAAACATTAGGACATAGTTATTCTCTTTACAAAAAATTATTTATTGTATTAAAGAATTCCTTTTGATTGCTAAGATTCCAAAGTATATATACATTTTCTTTAATTGCTGTCCTTTGCCATCCATAAATACAGTACTGTTGAAAACATAAGTGGTGATGTCCACTCAGGCATTAAAATTCAACAGTAGGCCCTCTCTGTTGGTGTAGAGGTTAAATCTCAGCACAGTCATCACTATAGCATGAGTGGTCATTGCTATAGCCTATGTTCTGTGTGGTCTGAGTTCAGTCCCCATCCAGGGAGCTAACCCATTTATGGTGCAGCAAACCTTTCCTGTATCATTACCCGCTATTCCCCTCAGCACCCTATTTCAATAGATCTGCCTTTTCTGCGCCCTACTCTGTCTCTGGTGAATCCTCTTACCCCCTGCACTTCTGGCCTATACCCCAGTCCTTGTATGTATAAATAAATAAAATTTTTTAAAAATAAATAAAATTCAGTAGTACCTCTTAAAGATACTTAAATCTTTTTATGTCCATACATATTTAGCTTGTGAATTACATTTAATCATACTTTTTCTCTCATGAAATTGAGGTTTGCCAGGACTAGAGTCTTGCTTTTCCTCACTTTCCATAACTGTTTATACTGTAGTGTGACAAGAAGAATCTAGTGACTGTTGCTGCTTTCCTTTTATAAACCCAAGCCATGGGATATAAAGAACTTTCTAGAAAATCACCCAGAGGTAGTATTGTCATCCAGAGAAATTCACTGACTGGTTCTTATTCACAAAATAGCTTTTCTAGATAATCTTCAGCTCTCAGATATTACTACCTTGTGTTGCAGTTTATTATTCTAATAATATGTACTATTGTTGGAGGCATCTATCTCAAAAAGCCTTGAGAAGTTTAGACTAAGTCTAGACATAATTTTACCAGAAAAAGTGGAATTGGGGACTATAAAATGTAACCACTATCTTCATTTAATGTAGCACATCTTTTGCATATGATTTAAGGGGTAGGTAGGAAATTTACAAAAGGAAGTGAGGATATTTTTTTCCCACTCATTTGTTTTTGCTTATACAAAAAGAATTTCAATGATTCAGGAAGAAATTGATCTCTTTATATTAGAACCTTCTGAGATCTTTCAAGGAAATACAAATCAGACATCTGAAGATTGTGTTCATGATAGTTAAAAATAGTAGTGATGGACTATTTTTAAGAATTATGTTTTCATTTTAATGAACAATTATTTCTGTTTTAAAACTACACTGCTTAATCAATAGGTAGTTCCAAGTACCCTGTTGAAAAGAGGGAAGAAGGGTATATTGGAAGCACATAAAATATCTTTTCTTATAGATTCTGATTATGACTGATGAAATAGTCTTATAACTTGGGCTTATTTTGATGTAAAAGGAAGATCATAGTTTTAAATAATGCCTAGAGAATACAGCAAATATTGAAGAGTTATAGGAATTTGGATTCCTTTCACAAAAGGTTATTTCCCATTTGGAGTTTAAATCTAAATTCAGAGTCAACAAACTTTTTTCTGTAAAAAAAATAAACATTTTAGGTATCGCATTGGCCATGTTCCAGTAGAGCTTTATTTACAATAAAAAAGAAGCCAGCTGAATTTGGCACATGCATAGGTGATAATTTTCCTATCCCTATTCTAATAAGTGGAAACAGAATTACTATGTAAATGATTATAATGGCAAATGATTGGGAGGGTGGGACCAGGAATAGAGTAATCCAATAGAAAGTATGATGATTAGTGAGTTGACAGGTCAGCCTCACTAATGTAAAAAAGAAAAGAAGTCAACCAAGGAAACTGAAATGTGAGTAACCAGTGAGATGGAAAGAAAACCAAGAGTTGTTGATGTCTAGAAAATGTAATGAAGAGTCATATGTTGGAGAGATGAAGCCCAAATCAGAGGAACACTGCTTATTAGACCATTGGACATAACTTTGAGGACATTGCCAGTGATCTTGATGGGCAGTTTTTGTGGAGTAGGTTCGAGAGAAACTGTGGGAAGAAGAAAGTGAATACAGGTAATTATTTTGAGGAATTTTGGTTTAAAAGAAGCAAGGAAATATAGCAGTGAGGGAAGAAGGATTTAGAGAAAACTTTGTTTTTTTTTTTAAGAGAAGAAATAAGGTGTATGGAAATATCCAATAAAAAGTAGAAAATTGCTGGAGTTTTGGATTTGAGTTGGTGAGGGGATGGAAGCTGTATAAATGAAGGGATTGACTTCAGATAGATGTGATGTTGGTAGGTAGGTACACTTGCTGGATGTTCTCTTCTGCCTTCACTTTTCTGCTAAAGAATAGGAAAGAATTGAGGTTTTTATATAATTTTGTGGTTTTTAACTTAGAAACCTATCCTACCAGTACTTGAGGGATCTTTGGTAACAAACTAAGATGACTTTTACTGTGCCATCTGAGGGAGTTGTAAACTTACCCGAGCAAATTTGTAAATGATTTATGTAATGCTTGTGGTATAGTATATATACGTGGTATCATGCAGACACTCAAGAAATGCTGTTACTAGAGATTTTAGAATCAGAATGCACTGAACTAAGTTTACTTTCTATCTTTTGCCTTAAAAGATACCTTACAGTTTTAGATGGAAAGGTGGAAAAAGACACAAAATGATATAAAAATAAACTTTTAAAAAAACCTGAAGAAAAAAAAAAAGGTAACTTACAGTTTTAAATGTTAAGTTTGACGATAATATGAAATATAATCAATTTAATTAACAGGTCCTTTGATGTCACTTCTAATGTTCTCGCTTCTTCACAATGTGCCATGTCTTTGATCAGGGACTCCATAGATGAGTGCTTTTTCTTATATGTTTGATTATTTCATCATCATATTACTACATGAATTTCTTTGTATAATGAAAATAGTTTTGTATATATCATCCTCCTGTAGATTATATATCCCCAGAAAGTGGGTAATAAGTTTTTATACATGTCTAAGAAAATGTGTCAAGTAATTGCTTGTAAGTAGGTGGTATTTAACAAGTAATGATGATGATTACTAAATCAAAGTTTCATATGCTTTGGTTAAACTTACATGTTCAGTTCTTTAGGTCTTGCACAAATTTAGGCCTGGAATCCTTCCATTGTGGAAAATTTTAGAGTTAAAGTATATTGGGTTTTGTAGCAGTTGGTAGAGTACCTCCACCAAGCTCCAAATATAGCTATTCCAAATAACTTCCAGAGGGCATAGTACCAAATTTCAGTCAGACATTGTAGCAGAAATTTAACTGGCACATACAACTTTAGAATGCCATAAAACTGGCATCATGATCAATTAAAGAACTGTTAGAAAATAATACCCAACTAAAAAATAGTGTATTAAAAATCTAAGATGACTGACTTTACTAAAAGAAAGTTAACTGTGGCTACCTTCACATATACTGTACCAAGGACATAATGAGTGAAGTCAAAGAAATGATATGCTTATAAAGTACTAGAGAATCTAACTTTGGCCAGGAATTGTTTGGGAAGAGTAGACTGACTTGGCCATCTCATTTTGCAGTAGCCACTGTTATCAAGAGATAGAAGTGAGAGAATCATGTCCTTTATAAGAAGCAGCTATATTTGCGACTTTAATCTTAGGTCTGCCAATAAAATTGAAGAGGCTTATTTCCTAGAATTTAGGAAGACTATTCAAATCTAGGTTCCCATCCTATTTACAGAGGTTATTTCTCAAGCATAAGAACACTGACTTCATAAAGGTATTTTAAATCTATGGAAAAATATTAAACAAGTTTTTAACTGTCTTCTGAAACTTTCCTTGTTTTCTTTGTATTATAGGTCCAGTTGTTTACGTCTTGGATCTTGCAGATAGACTGATTTCAAAAGCCTGTCCATTTGCAGCAGCAGGAATAATGGTTGGCTCTATCTATTGGACAGCTGTGACTTATGGAGCAGTGACAGTGATGCAGGTTCATTACTTTACTGCATTCGGTGATAATTACTTTTGATGTGGAGATCTACTAAATAGTTTTTTACTAGGAGTTTAAAAGTTACCCTTTTGAACACGTGTGAATAATCTGATGACTTAAAAATAAGAAGATATATAAAAAGCTATCTAGTGATAAGTCATTTCACTCCCATCCTTCATTTGTTCCAGTTCCCCCTCCTGACCCATGCCCACCCAGGAAGCCAGGATTAGTAGTTTCATATATTTTTCCCCAGACATTCTTTGCACATACACAAGAAAAAGTGAATATATTCTCACACTTTTTTGTTACCCAAAAGAAAGATGTTGGAAATAGAGAAAAAAATTTAAAATAAATAAAAACAAAAAGACCCTTAAAAAAGCATATTAGAAAAAAAAAAAAAGCATATTAGATCTGTATCTCTCTTGCACAAAGAGTGAATCTTGGAGAGCTTTTCATATAGCATCCTGTATATCAAGTTAAAATAATTTACTAACCAGTCTTTTGCTGACTAGACAATTAGTTGCTTCCATTTTTTTTTTTTTGCTATTACAAAACAGAAGGATTAGGGATGCTTACATTTCAAGATAGAGTTATCTCTCTTTAAACCTTTTCCTCAAACATTTCTAACTCTGCTTTTTTGTATTTAAATCGAAGTCTTTGCTCTAATCTTTCTCCAAATTCTCTCCTGCAAAAGCAGCTTGACCTTTCTTTGGCATGACCTCTTGTGACTTTACATTAAATATCACTGAAATTATTAAACTTCTTTTTCTTAGGATTTGAAACCTGAATTTTTTCCCCATTTTAATTTTGCTGAAATCTATGATTCCTAGTTTCCCCATCTCTTGATTTGTACTTGACACTCTTAGGATTGCCTTTAACTCTGCTTATTTTTCTGTCCACTACACCAAGTCCAAGCAATTTCCATATATTTTATAGCTATAGCTTCTTTTCCACAATGCTCACCACCTGACTTCTTGTTATTCCCCCATCATACCTGATTAAAGTAGTTTCTTGATTGGTTTCTATCACTCCATTCTTCCAAAGGAATTTTTCCTTAAATAATGTCATCAATATCTTACTTCAAACTTAACCATCTGCTTTGCCTAACTTGTTGCTTTCAAAAGCAGCACCTAAATTGGATAAGTGTTTCATAAGTAATTTTAATAATAGATGATGCACTTGTGTTTATAGGTGATATAATTTTTCTTTAATATAAAAGAGCACATGGAAGAAAAAGGGAGTTATGAGTAGTAATCTAGAAATTGCATAGTACCTCTTTATGCCAGATTCCTACCAAGCAGCCTTTCTAGTGTTTCATTAATAGTCATGGTGAGACAATATTCCAAGAATTTTTATTAAAATGTTGATGACACCCCAGAAATCTGGATATAATCACTGCAGTGGATCAGTTGTCTTAGTGTAGTAAAGACGAAGAACTACTGACTTGAAAAGATTTGATTTTTTTTTTTTTTCCCTATGGTTAAGCTGATTTGTTATACAGGTTACTTCATTCTACTTTGAGACCTTTGGGACAGTCTCTCCAACGTATCCTTATGTTGTTTAGTTTTTTGTTTTTTGTTTTTTACCTCTGTTATTTGGCTAACGTGATGTTTCTTGCCAGTAAAACCTGTCTTTCTAGTTCGACTTACCTAACCTAAACCCTCCTTCAGTACTCAGTTCAGCCATATATTATCCCATGAGCCTTCTGCCCACTGTTGATTTTTTCTTCCTCTGCATTCATGACATTTTATTCCTTAATGGTAGCTAATCTGCTGAACAGATTATATTTATTATAGTCTTCCTAAATTATTTAATTTCTTATATTTAGACCTTACTTCTTGTTCTAAGGTAATTTTCTAGAAACTTGAGAATATCTTATACTGATGTTTTTTCCTGTGTGTCATATACACAGGCTAACACTTAAAAAACTTCCATTTTTTTAATATGACGGCTCTTAGTAACAGGTTTGTTTGATTATATTCTTTGCAGTAATTTGTTAAACTTTAGTAAGGAGTTGAATATCAGTGTATCACTAGGTCAAGGAATTTCAGAATGATTCACTGAAACTGACAGAGACATGAAAGGTTCAGATTTTGGATGATTTCTCTTAAGATTTAATTAACCATAAGAGGGGAGGAAAAGTTTCTAGGTTAGCTCAATTCTAAAAGAAAAGAATTCTAGTAATTAATGGGATACTTCAACAGGACCCTATTAACAAATATAGTTTGTATCTTCTAAATAGTTACCACCTATATTTTGGCATTTTCAACCATATTGGCATGATTTTTTTCAAAAATTAAGATTGAGCTGAGGTCTGTATAAAGTACAAAACAAATTGAAAGCTCTCATTGTCCAGCCTCAATTATAGTCTTAAGACAAGGTGTACATAGGTGAACACCTAGAAAAGTTGTAAGGTTCTATAGACAGAGTACCAAGAATTACATACACCGTGTTTTAATTTAGTAGAAGTGAACTATCACTTGAAATCATGAAAAAACAGTCCTAAGATGACCTTGAAGGAAATGATACAAGCAAGGAGACAAGAATGACATGTTGGTTAATGATGACAATAAAGAAGACAATCTCAAATTATAAAACATACATATTTCATGTTACCATTTAGGCTAAAGTTAGCATGTATATCGAAAGCATTTTTCTTACCCTAGAAAATGAGATCAGCTGAGTAGGTATTGCTGTGTGATTTAAAAGTATTGGTAAGCCTTTTACCTACCTGAACAAATACCCCTCTACCTCATCAACAGAATGGGTTTGCCTTTTTTAACACTTCATGGTTTTTTCCGTTTTGTCTCTGACTAATCTGAAGCAAATTAGATCAAGGAAATAGACCACTGTTCTTTTTCTGTTCTCTTTGTTTCTCTATTAACCAGTCTTCAGGTTCAATCCCTATTGTGTGGTGAATTTGAGTGGGGCATTCCACTTACATTTTTCTTCAAAAGATGTGATAGTTAGCTTTTTTTTTCTGGCACTGGGTTGAGAACCTTTCCAGTAATGATACAATTATTTCTTGTAACAGTTTTTTGGACATAGATACTATTATTTCTAGCTTTCAAGTTTGGAGAGTTCATATGCCAGGTGCCACACAGCAGAAAAGAAGCACTAGGATTCCTCTACCTATTCTAGGACTCCTTAAGTGAAACTAGTCCCAAAGGCAGGTGGAACATTTTACCCTGGAGCCGCAGAAATTTGACATACAACCTAATTCCACATCTGCCTCTCTTTGTGAAGATAACCACCATAGCTATGTCCATTCTTAGTTACACTTAATTATCCTTACTTGTGACTAAGAAAATCTACTAGTTCATCAGTGTTCCTCCCATTTCAAAGTAGGACTTAGCAGGCAGTGCTTTAAAAAAAGATAACATCTACATTAAGGTTTGTAGCCTTTCAGCATTAGTGAAATGCTTGTCTTACCTGGATATGAAGAACTAGTTTTTAACTCTTAGAAAAATAAGCTTTTCTCTAAATCCTCAATTCAGTAGGCCTTTATTGTATAGCTAAATTCTTAATGAAGGTATTCTGTAGTTCTTAATGTCACTTGTTATAAAACCAAAATGTACATTGAACCAGTGAACCAGTACACAGGGTTCATTGGTTTTGTGTCGACAGTTAAATCAACACCATTGCTTAATTCAGCTTTCAATTTTTGGCACCAGGTAGTCTTATACAAATGTTTTACCATTCCCTTTGCTTTACAGCATTTGCACTTGCATACTTGCTTGATTTGATTAGACTTCACCTCCGAAAGGAAAGGCATCTATTTAGCTGTCACTTTACCCCCAGCAACTAGGCCCGTAGCTGGCCTATCATGCATGCACAATGAGTCTCAGCTTGAGTAATAAGGCACCTGGCCACGTTAGCTATAACAAGTGAGACAGTGGGCCTTTGCTTTCTCTTTGTCCTATTTTCTCTTTTGTTTCCTCATTTTTAGAACCCTGGTATTAAGGTTTTTTTCTGCCACCCCGGGGGGGGGTAAACTTTTTTTTTAATCGTTTATTTTTACATCATTTTGTGCATTTTTCCATCTCACTTGTAATCCCTGTGGGCTTCCCTTCACCAAATTAAACTTTGTTACTATAGTCTACATCTGAAGATTCACTCTGTTTTATATTTCTAAACTCATAAAAAAAAATATATAATGCAACAAAGGAATTTATCAATTTTCTGTGTTTATTTGCTAACACTTTGGAGTATTTACATTACATTTAGTTATTACCTTAAGAACTTTAGGGTGAATTAAAGTTAATAACTTTAAGGATATGTTGAAAACAATAAAAATTTATATAAAAATGGAATGTCTTGGAAAGGCACTATAGTAAAGACAATCAATCTCTTGGCTAATCCACACTTTTGTGTGGGATTGGAGTTTATGAAACATTGTAAACCAGACTATTTCACCTTAAGGCAACTTAAAATGACCACCTTTTTTATGCAAAATGGAATTTGTTAAGTTTCTACCTGAAGGTCCAGAAGAACATCAGTACTGATAACCATGGTTTTGACCATTAGAAAGAGTCTAACCTCCCGACCTTTAATGTTGTTTTGGCTAGATAAATTAATCAACTGTCACTTTGAACTATATCCCCAGCTAAAATTTAAAGAGCACCTATATTGGTTCTCTCCACACACATTCATAAAATATTTTTACCTAGATCAAGTCTTTTTTGCCTAGAATTTCAGTTTGTTCTGACGATTCTTAATTTCACCTTATTTCACATCTGTAGTCTATCTGAAAAATCTGCTCTAATAGCAGTCAGAAAGGGCATCTCATTTTGTTTTTAAATCCCATTTACCTTGTCCTAAATTTGTTCTCCTGAGTAGATTTGGTCCCCAGCAGCTGTTAGTTGCTTTCTACCTTCTTTCCTCTTTTCCCCTCATTGCTTCTTTTGCCTCCTTTTTCTTTCCTGTCTGTCATAAACATAGACAAGGTTCTTTCCAACCCTTTTACCTACCTTCTCAAGTGTGAGCAGAAAAACTACAAAGAATTCCTTATAGTAATATCCTATCAAACTATCACTTCATTGTGTGATACCTGAGTGGTCTAAGCCCAAGATGCTGATGTAATCTCTTCTTGACATAACTGCCAAGAATAATCCCACCTTAATTTCACCAGTTTAATTTTCCAGTAATTGAGACTTGGTTAAAGAAACCTTTGGGAGAGAATTTTCAAGAAGGTTCTCTAAAACTAAGATGTTGACAAACAAAATGAAAATGTTGAGAGAAGTTTGATTGGTCAGTAAGAGAAAAGAATTTTGCCAGAAAGGGAAGTATAGTCACAATTATGAATCATGTTTTTCTTGCCCACTGGAATCTAAACCAATTGGAAAATAGCCCCAAAATCCAGATGGGGAGAAAGATTCTTTGATCTTTACAGCCACAAGAATGGTTATCCTAAGGTTCCTGAATTAGAAAAACTGACTGCTGTAATCAAATCTGAACCTCCTACTGCAGTCGCCTAAATTTAGATCTTGGAATTGCATTTTAGGTGAGTCTGTAAAGCAGGTATTTAACAAACCAGAGAGGTAATATTCTAATCCAAACATCACTGAGTCAGGAGGAAGAGACTCAAGCTATCTCTTAAAAGGCTAACCCTGCCTCTTGGCTAGCTGTGTTACCTCCTAGAAAGAGCAGGAAAACAGTTGCGGTGCTGGAAAGACAAATAGGACATAACCATTTAGAGCCTACTCCACCATATTAAGGTAATAGAGGCAATAAGCTGAAGTCCTCTCCCCTCTATTGAAATGGAATCCATGTGGGTAAGCCATTTTAAAAACTCATTCCACTATAATATGACATTGCTTGGAAGCCTTTTATTCTCCTTAGTGACAGATGTTTCTTAGAAATAAAATCAGGTCTGATTGCTTTCTAGCTTATTTTTAAAACTTTCTCTCTCTGTATCATTTTGAAATATAACATTTCCCCTGAAATGAAATAAACTCAAGCATGCAGCTGTTCATTAGATATGGAAGTTAGTTTTATCAAATGCTATCTGTTTACAGGTCGTAGGCCATAAAGAAGGTCTGGATGTTATGGAGAGAGCTGATCCATTATTCCTTTTAATTGGACTCCCTACTATTCCTGTCATGCTAATATTAGGCAAGATGATTCGCTGGGAGGACTATGTACTTAGACTATGGCGCAAATACTCAAATAAACTTCAGATTTTGAATAGTATATTTCCAGGTAAGGTCCTGAATTATAACTGTACTGTGCATGACAAATTAGTCTCTCAGAAGAATCCTAGCATGGTTTTTTTAACTTTAAAATATTTTAGGGCTTTCCTGTTGGCACAGGGGTTAAGTCTCAGCACTATCAAGCTATTGGCAGCCACTGCAACACAAGTTCTATCCCTAGCCAGTGAGCTGACCCACATGGTGCAACAGACCTCTCCTGTCTCACCCGCTGTATCCCTCCGCAGTGTATTTCAGTCAATCTGCCTGTTCTGCTCCCATTTCTGTCTCTGGTGAATCCTCTCATTCCGTGCCCCTCCCCCGTGCACTCCTGGCTTACACTCCTGCTCTTATATGCATACATTTAAAAGGTTGTTTTTTTTTTTTAAGGTATTTTAGCTATTCTGATTTATTAGCACTTGATACCCTGCATTTTTTCCCTCTAGGTATTGGTTGTCCTGTTCCTCGAATACCAGCTGAGGCTAATCCTTTAGCAGATCATGTCTCTGCTACCCGAATTTTGTGTGGAGCCCTTGTCTTTCCTACTATTGCGACAATAGTTGGTAAACTGATGTTCAGTAGTGTTAACTCTAATTTACAAAGGACAATCTTGGTAAGATGGCTTTAATATTACTTTTTTTTTTTTCAAGTGACTATACAAAAGATAATGACCTTCACATTTGTTTAATAAAGAAAAAATGATGGGACTACGTAAGTATTCATTCTGTGACTCCTGGGCCTTGAGCCTGTATTAGAGCCCCACATCCAAAAGCAGTGAAGAGGAGTATCCCCTGCAGTAGTTTTGGCCTTCCTGAATATTGTTGTAGGTGATCTCTCTCCTGGAATATGTATAAATAGTCATACCTACCCATTTTCTAGCAAAATGGGTGAAAAGCTTCTCCTCTAGAGTCATTCTGATTAAAGTCCTATCACAAATAATGCCTTGCTGAGGCTCATAAATTTCTTGTTTGTAAAATGGAGATAGTGATAGTAGGTACCTCAGGATAATTGAGGTTTATGTGAGGTATTTCATTTGAGTACTAGCATATAGTAAGCACAGTGTTGTTTGAGATCATGATCATCATCATCATCATCGTTCCTGTACATACTACACGAGTATTTTCTCTCCTATATCAGAGTGGACGTAGAGCTGGAAGATTACTTGAGAGGATAACAGGGAAGGTATCTCTCTGAACCTCTTGTTACCAGTGGTTTCTCGCTCTTCCTCTTTCATCGCCTAGTGGACAAAAATTTTAGTTGCAGTAATATGAATTAGTTTAACATGAAAATTGGTGTCTTTTATTATCTAAGTAAAATTCTCTTTTTTTATTGTTTCTCTAAATCTGTCGATTTCCCTTTGTATCTTAGGGTGGAATTGCTTTTGTTGCCATAAAAGGAGCATTCAAGGTTTACTTCAAACAGCAGCAATATTTACGTCAGGCACACCGCAAAATTCTAAATTATCCAGAGCAAGAAGAAGCATAAAACTGTGACTGTTCTGCAGTCCTCTCATCCTTATAAGTCTGTTGTGTTGTTTTGATTCCATCATTAATGCACAGTAGTGAAGACTTGTAATAAGCTGCTGCTCTCATATTTTTAAGAAATATAATAAAGCACTTAGGGCAGGGGGAATCCTCTCAGTAATCACGGAACCTGAGGATGGGATTTGTTTTCATTGTTTTGTCTGTACAACTTTTATGGCAGTCATCTGGCATTATCTTAGCATGGTAAACCTGGATTTTGTTCATATTTTCTCCAGACAGAAATGTAAAGATCAAACTGTGCAAGTATTTAAAAATGCACATACTGTTTTATTGAAATGCCTCTTTTGTACATGTTCATGTTCAGTGTTTTCTTAGAATCAGCAACTCAACTCAATGAAGGTACTATGAGGATTTTTCTCACTGGCATAATTTGATTAAATCTAAATAGGAATATATGTTCATATGAGGAAATGTAAATTAAATTAGTTATAATTAAATAACAAACCAAAAATGTATGTAAACGTTCAAATGATTATCTGAACAAATGCAATTTTGCTGTGTTTTTGTTTTTTTTTTTTTTTTAACCCATGTGATGTCCTCCAAAATGTATAGGGTGAAATTCACAGGGCTTCCAGATCACTTTTTCTCTATTAAATTTTATTTATATAATGTTGACATCTCATAGTTTCATAATGCAATTTTGACTTATGTAGTCTTAATTATTGTGTGTGTGGGGGGTGGGGCAAGGGTGGAGAGAGTCATCAGATTCCTTCCATCACGGGGATTTTTAAATCCATATTTCTAGAAATTAGAGCTGCCAGTTTATAGTAGTTTGAGCACAGACAATGATTTGCAAAAAATCAATAAAGTTACTTTACTCTCCTCTTTCACTGATTCAGTTATTCAGGTATTTGTTAATCACCTCCTGTTTTGCCAGGCACTCTGCAGAGTGCTATGAAATACAATGGTGAGCAAAACAGATTTGGTTCCTGCTTTTACACAGTTCATGGTCTAGTTTCAAAAGAGATAAAACCAGCAGTGAGTAAACCAAGGTGAGGCCTTGAGATCCTTGTTTTTATACCAGTAAGTGATTTAATTATGAAAACAGAATTCTTGAATAAACATTGAGCTCATTGTTTTTGGCTTAAGTGTATTATTTTAAAAAGAAAACCAATACTAATGTTTTTAGGTTTTAATTGTCTCATGATGAGGCTAGCACCTTAATAAGCACTGTTTAACTAATTTATATTCATTTTTCAAAATCATTTATTTATTTTAAGCTTTCAATAGTGGTCCTTTTAATGTTTAGCAGTTTGAAAGATCTTATTTCTATTAATTAAAGTTAAATTTTAAAAAGCTAGTTCCAAAGGCCCTAGTTTCTTGTTCACAGTATCTAATGCATGACAATAATGTTTCCCTGTACTGATAATACGCCACTTCTGTTTAGGAAGAAGTGTAGCAAATATAGATTGAACTATGGTAGATTGCAATTTAGTAATTTAAGACAAGTACCTTTCGATAATACAAATGTCTTAATTTTGAGTTATAATGAAGTTCATGTGTATGGTTACTGAACACTCGAAATTGTAATTATTTGGGGAGGAAGGGATAATGTGACAGCAGGCACTATTAAGAACAATGCTATGTTCTGGAGGGGAAATCAAAAGCTATGACTGTATATTAAAACTTAAATTATATAGCTATAATTATAAAATATATTGGCTTTTCTTCAATTTCCAACATTAAAAGACATTACATATTTCCTACATAATTTTGTTGTATAGAACAGCTTTTAGGCTGCCTTTACTAAAATTATACAAGCACACAGCTCCCCATTTACTACTTTAATGCCCAGGATGAGGAGTAGTTGCCTGGGTTTATTGACATAGGGCTAGTGAAAGCCTAGGAAACACATTTTCTTCAGGGGCAGATGGGAGGGATTTCTAGGGTTGTGGGGAGGAAACTGCAAGTGCCTGGGGACCAGAGTGGCCTCTAGCCCTGGAACTGGATACTTTTTATCCTATAAAGCCTTAGCTCAAGAAATCACGTGCCAGTCCTTAAAATGGTGACTGCACCACCATGAAATAAAAAAGCACAGGCTGACTAAAGTTGGATTGACCTGGGTTCAACTCCTAATTCTGCTTTTAATTATGTTTGTGTAACCGTAGCCAATTATACTAAGCTAGCTTTTAGCTACAGTTTTCTTCATCTCTGAAATATACATAATAACTTTTCTCAGATAACTATTTCTAAGATTTAACTTAGAAAGAAACAGAGGCACTTTAGACTCAAAATAGCCCCCCTAACATGGCAATTGCTGAAGAGTGCTTGCACTCTAGGAAAAGGAAATGAAGAGGTAAAAAGAAGGCACTAGGGGACAGAACAAAGGGATGCTGTAAACTTCTGGGATGGGTGGGTATACTTTGTGTTTTTCTGTTTATGTTCACATTGCTTTACTGTGTTATTTCTATAAACTTTAATGTTTTAAACCTCTTTTATAAAACTCAATGATGACTAATAGAATTCTTTGCAGAAGTTAATTTATCTCCACAGTGGCTGAAAATATTGTTCATCATTTAAATGATTATTAAATGACTGTGAAGAATATAAAATTAAACTTAGTGACTTAATTAGTCACTGCCTTGCTAACTGTGCTGTAATTTTTTAAGTCTTGTTTTTAATATAGCAAAGTATCTCAATACTGGCTGAAATTAGGCTAAATAAAGAATTTTTATGTTCTCTAGGTGTACTTTGTCTGTTGAACATCTCCCAAAATATAGTTGACTAAATATGTACCTGCATAATTATTTCAGAATCAAAGCTATCAGGCCTCCCTAGTGACTCAGGGGTTAATAGCCCAGCTTGATCAAGCTATCGCCACCACTGCAGCATAAGTTCAATCTCCAGCCAGGGAGATGAACCAATGGCACATCAGACCTCTCCTGTTTCACCTACTGCTCCCCTCAACAGTGTATTTCAGATCTGACTTCTGCTTCCCACTCTGGTGAATACTCTCACCTCTACCCCACCTAGCACCTCTGGCCAACCCCCCAGATCTTGTATGCATAAATAAATAAATAAAAATTTAAATCATAGTTATCAAGATACTAGTGAGTTTCTCTTTTAGTAAAAAATAATTGCATTAAAAAACTTGTAGAAGCTCTCCCTGGTGGCGCAGCGGGTTAAAGCACTGCACTAAGAAGCTTAAGCCGCTTCTGCATGAGTTTGATCCCTGTCTGTCCCGGAGGAGATACACATGGCTTGGCAGACCTCTTCTGACAGCCCACTGCTCCCCTCAGCAGTGTACTTCGTCGACCTGCCTGTTCTGCTCCCCACTCTGTCCCTGTTGAATCCTATCATCCCCCACATCTCTGGCCTGTACCCCAGTTCTGTATGAATAAATAAATAAATCTTTAAAAAAAAAAAAAAACTTGTGAAAGCATTACGCAAGCAAGAGAAGTTAGGCTTTCATTCTGGCCAACTCTGTGAGTTAAGCATTTTTATAACAGCCTGCCAGGTTACTGTATGTCAACAAATATACTACTTTTCCCAGATTAGATGTTTGTTGAACGAGGATCTGTGCTAAGTCCTGGGGTACAGATCTTAAGTATTTTTTTTTTCCTTTATTGTTGTAACTAGGTTACAACACTACATGATTTAGAGAAATAGGTTTATACCTTCTCAGATGTAACCACACTACTCCCACAGACCTTAGTCTTAATGGCATTACCACCAAAAGAATGTAAGATCCATAAGGTATAGACTTTGTTTTACCACTGTTTACTACTCTGTTCCACAAATTAACAGCATTCTGGGTCACAGTGGAACACTTTGAACCCTGAGAAGATATGCCCTGTTTAACTATCAAAATTAGCAAGAAGAAACCTGTAACAGGAAAACAGGTAATATTTATCTTTTAATAATACACATTTTTTTCAATGTACTGATTTTGTGCAAAGATAAGCCATGCAAAAGTAATTTTGAAGTATAAATCTTAATGAATTTTTACAAAATGATTGTGTCATCAGGAGACAGAAATTGCATCAGTTATTTGAGCAATGAAAACATAAGGAATTGTTAATGGAGAGCAAATAATGAAAGGAGTAAAAGAATAAAAGTAGCAAGGACCCCCCAAAATTTCAAAACAGTTACCCCAAGGTTGGCAGGAGTAGATATTAGGTCTCTAAGAACTGGGAAAGGGCTCTTCCCCATTCTTTGAATAAGGTGTGACTGCCTCAGACTGGTATCTGAGGGGTGACAGAAACTTCCATGAGACTTGGATAAAGCTGGAGTGTATAAGCTGAGCTGATGGGAAGAGAGGCCTAAGGGTATAGTTAGACATCAAGCTGCAACCTCTTGTGCTAGTGGATTCATAACAAGCAAGAAGCTAGAACAAAGATGTCTTCCTGATGTAATTGCCTCAGTGTCACTCCAATGTCCTCTGTTAAAAGAGCCAAAATATCAAAGGGCTTATGTTAACAGGAGCCAGTGTTTTGTCACAAAGTTTGGCAAAGAAGGATGAATTTGGCATTCAGAGAAGATATACTTGCATTTAAGTGCAACATATCTAAAGTTATGTGTTGTAGCAGACGTGTAAAAAGAACCACCTAAATATCAGTTATAACTTGGCAAAATAAATTATGGAATCTATCCATAATGGAATGCTAGGTAGCCACAAACAGGAATGAAAAAGCTGTTTACATTCTGATATGAAAATATTTTATGGCGAAATGGATTAAAGCGCAGCAATGGGAAGCCAGCTGTAGCTGCTTCAGCGTGGGTTCTATCCCAGTCTTGGAGGTGGCCAATGGCACAGCAAAGCTCTCCTGTCCCACCCCTCAGCAGTGTACTTCGTTCATCTGCCTATTTGTGCCCTACTCTGTCTGGTGAATCCTCTCACTGCCCCTGCACATCTGGCCTATGTTTTGTATGAATAAATAAATCTTTTTAAAAGTATATTTCTAACTGGTAAAAAGGGGAAAACAACATTCATAACAGTTCTACAAAGTGGTATCAGTAGAGGAAAATGGGGGATGGGAATTATATAAACATTTGTTTATGAATTTAAGGAATTTCTAGAAAGATACACAAGGAAACTAGTTTTCCATTGGTTTGGGAAACTAGGGAATGGAGGGTAGAGGTGGGAGGTTCTTTATTATTACCATTTATACATTTTTTCTTAATGTTTTCCTTAAATTTTTTTTAATAGCAAAGAGGTAATGGTATCGACTAACTGCCAGATCACATAAATCTGTGACGCTGGGAAGAACACTATCAGCTGATAAACTGTATCACAACCTTTCTGAGAGCTGACAGCATGACTAAATATGGGCCATGGACCTAGCTTTACATGTTCCAGAAAAACACAGCTTCATTCAGATCTCCTCCTATCTCAAGGTTGGGCTCTGGTCTTGGTCTTGAGTGATGGAGATTATCTGGTAAAGGTTTATCTGTTTTCATTTTGATGACCTCTGACAACTTTCCCAGGTCAGGTTTCACAGCCCAGCTGTCCAACTCACCCTCCTCAAACTTGCTTCTGATTCCAACTGAGAGAAAACAGGTGCAGACTGAAATAATCAAAGCAGGTACAACATTTTTTGGTAGAAGGCTCCACACAGTGCTTTATCTGTGTGTAAATGTCCAGAGCTGACATGTCTGCCTTCCTCTAAGCAACCTTGGGTCTCTCCTCACCGAGAGAACATGATCTCCTTGCTGGGCTTACCGCACTGCGTGTGATAGTGGTGGCCCACAGCTATCACCACAGAACTGACTTCCATCTCCTGCACCTTCAGATCCTCCAGAGTAGACTGGCAGCTCTTCTTTCCCTTAGCCACCACCTGGATGAGGCACTCACAGTCATGTTACCTGGCCTTGAACTCTGGGGTCCACCACAGAGAGGGTTACCTAGTGATTATGCACGTGCCTGTAGATGTTTTATTTTTATTTCACTGTATTGTTTTTTGCTCCCTATCTACCTGGGGTCCATAAATAGAACTTCCAGTAGTATTGAACAAACACTTTTTAAATGAATTTGTTCTAAGATTCATTTTTTATAGGACATTTTGCAACTACTTTACAGAAGTAAATGGGTTTTGAAACAAATAACCATATCCCCAACTGTAAAAATGGATGCTAGAACTTTTTAAAGCAGGAAAATAATATGTTCTTAGGTTTATTATTTGTTCACTTATATGTTGAATAAATATTCCTCGAAAACCTCGGATGTGCTAGACACAGGAAATTCAGAATAATAACTTGTGGTATCCAACATTTATTGCATGCTTATGTACTTTTCTAGGTATAAATTACTTTTCTAGGTATACATTATTAACTTAATGTTAATAACTCAAACATACTGTTTTCATACCATTTATAAAATGACAATGTATTACAAATGAAACAACCAAGTGCTCAATATTATGTGCTGTTGTAACAACTTCATTGATACAGATGCACATCCTCAGTCCTATTTCCTACATGTAGCTAACCTCTACTTTTTTCCTAATATTTCCATCATCTCTTAAAAATAACTCACAGAAATCTTTGGGATTGATTACTAGGTTTGCTTAGCATTCTTCAGTTACTACTAACATGGGTGCCAGAAAGGGCCAATGCTTCATTCACTTCAGCCTTAGGGGATTTTGTTTCCTTCTGCTTTGAGTGTTGTTTTGGATGCAGGCCCAGCTCAAAGATTCCAGCTGAAGAAATGCCTGGTCCCTGCAATCCTAACATGGTTCATCTCACATCTATTGGCTCCTGGCAAATTAAGTATCATCTTCACTTGAATAACAGTCACACTATGAGTAAAGAGTTGTGTTGCAGGAAAAATGAAATTTGGATTCTCAAGAATAGAGGCTATAGATTTCTCATTGTTTCCTTACTAAGGAAAATATCTTTTTAAAGATGTATTTAGTCATTTTCACCTTATGAAATATATTCCCTTTATAAAAATATTAACATTTCATATATATGTAACAGAAAACTAAAGTCACTCCACAGTCCCCCAGAAATAACAACAGTGAGTAGTTTATAGAGTATATTCTCCAGATGAATCCTCTCATCCCCCACACCTCCGACCAATGACCCAGTCATCTATGCAAAGATAAATAAAATCACAAAAATGAATAAAGTAGTCCTTAAAAAGAAAAAGGGAACACTGGAGTGGCAAAGGGCAGCTTTACATTACTGCCACTAGAGGTGCCTTGACAAAGGGTTTTGATAGGGGATGCCCTCTTTGGAGAACTTCTCCCCTTCTTGGAACTCTGCCCCAATTTCCTCTGGGGCCTCTCCTGCACACAAGCACGCTGGGCCCACCATGATCTATGAGGAGTGAGTTACTTGGACTGCTATCCTTGGTCCTGAACCATCTTCATGAGTTAGGGTAATTCACAAATGCAAAGCAGAATGAGAAGGGAAGCTTGATTAATGTGTTCACTGCTGAGCACCACCCCCAGATATTAACTCTGCATTTTTTTTGAAAGTAAGATCAAATGAATCTGATGGTCAGTTTGTAACTTACTGTTCCAGGGTATATTTATTGCTCCTAAGCCAAATCAGTAGACATCTCTTGTTTTTTACTTCCCTGTTGGCACCTGTTCCCTAATCTAGAAATGCATCCTGGTTGTTCTTAGGTGCTTCATTCCTCTCCACTGGCAGGTATGGACAACGCCTGCCCAGCTCCAGGCCACTCAACCTATCCCAACTTCCTGATTACAGTTGTTGGATATGAGTTAACTCAA